CAAGACCCTGCCCCCATTCCTGCCTCAGTTGCCCCCTAAACGTGTCCTGCTGCCTTGGGACAATGGCACTTATTGTTATGTACAGTGGGGCCTTGACTTACGAGTTTAATTTCGTCCGAGACCGAGCTCGTTAACTCAAATTATTCTATCAACTCAATGCAGAAAATCGGCGGAGAGACAGCTGGTATCTCAAAAAACTCGTTAGTCGGGACACTCGTAAGTCAAGGCCCTACTGAGCCCATCCTCCAGTGAGGTTGGTACTGCCCCCATTTTACAGCTGAGCAGACTGAGGTTCTTGTCCCAAGGTTCCTAGCTGGTTAAGTGGTAGAGACCAAGTTAGAAAGCAGACCGGACACCAGATCTCCAAAGCCCCCATGTGCTCTCCTGCTGTGTTAGAGGGACCGCCTGGAGACCCAGAAATGCTGGCCCCTGCCCCCACCTGAATCCCTATGGCTGCTTGGAGCCCAGAGGCTCAGTACAGGCTGAGAAAACGTGACAGCCTGGGAAGTGTCTGCTGTGAAGCTAGAGCAGGATGTGGGCAGGGTGGCGAGTGGCTGGGGCAGTGCAGTGGTGGTAGCAGGGGTCAGCGGTGGGGCCGCAGGACTGAGCAAGAATATCTCGTTTTAGACACTTTGACATATTGTTTGTTTGGCCACATCAGTGCTGCCCTCTGAGTGGAGGCTTCCACCCAGAGCAGTGAGGCATGTGGTATGATTGCTGGGGCTCCAGAAACTTCCTTGCCTCCTGCTCCAGCTGAAAGGACTTCCCAGGAAGCACTGGGGTGGGGCTGGGGCACAAGGCCTCCAGCACAACTTGATGGCCCTAGAGTCTGCACCTGAACCCCAGCCGCAGAGGACAGCAGCCAACAGAGGTGTGTAGGCTCAGAAGGTGGCCATGTGTGGGCCCTAAATGGGGACACCAATGTCCCTGGAGGATGTGCTAAATAAAGTACATGACAATGTGTGGCCTTTATTCATCCCGAGCCTCAGTTTCCCATTTCACAGGGCAGCTGTGAGGACTGAGGGAGAGGCTGCATGCAGCAGGTCTAGTTTGGCGCCAGGCCTCGGGCTGGCCCGTCACCTGCCTGGTGTGCCTGTGCCCAGGCCAGGAGGCCCGCAGCGGCTGGGGGCAGGTTCCCCGGGCGAGCAGCAGCCTGTTTCTCTTGGCTGCCGTGAGCGGATGAGCACAGCGTGCTGCGGTTGCTAAAAAAAAACACACGAGCTGCTGCCTCCAGCCCCACAAATAGAAGTGGAAGTGTGGCTTCAGGTCTGGGAAGCCCCACTGCTCCTGGGGTGGCGGTGGGGTCACCCTTCAAGAGGCTGAGCCCACTCCCTTCCTGTGCCCCCCATTCCAGCCCACGGACTCCAAAGGCTCTGGGTCTCCTGCGCTGGGCTCCCCGCCTCTGTCTGAATTGACACGGAACTTGGGGAATGACTGCTCCAGGGAGCAGAAGCCAAGGGTCCCTCCTCTGACTAACCCCCCACCCCTACCCCTCACAGACTCAGGCCTTGCTGGGCATCTCCCGTCCCCTCCCGGCTCTCAGCATGTCATGCTGAGCTCCTGGCTCACAGGTTCCATGCCAGGCTGTGAGCTGAGGACAGGGCAGTGCCTGGCACGGGCTACTCAAGAGGCACTTGCAGGACGGACAGACATTTGGATGAACAGACTACAAAGAGGGAAGGTGGGAAGTCTGAATGACTGAAGGGATCTCCCTGTCCCTATAACATCTGGGTCATCCCCAGCTGACAGTATGGGATACGGGTTTTTTGGTTGATCGAGGATATCTTTCCATTGATTTTCAGAGTGGAAGGAGGGGGAGAGGCAGAAACAGCGATGTGAGAGACACATCAGTTGGATGCCTCTTGCAGGTGCCCCAACTGGGGGCAGTGATTGAGCCTGCAACCGAGGTACATGCCCTTGACGAGAATCGGACCCACAACCTTCAGTCCACTGAGCCCAGCCCTAGTTGGGCTGCTTGTGCATGCAGTCTGCTTTTGCCCAGAATCTTCAGGGTCCTTACAGCTCACAGGGTCCCTCTCACTTCCTTTTAAAGCAGGGGTGGGGAAGCTGTTTTTCTGCCAGGGGCCATTTGGATATTTATAACATCTTTCGCGGCCATACACAATTATCAACTTAAAAATGAGCCTGCTATATTTGGTCAAACAATTAACTCACCCCTAATGCCTTGGCAGGGCCGGACCAAATGATTTCTTGGGCCTTCTATGGCCCACAGGCCGAACGTTCCCCACCACTATTTTAAAGCAAGGAACCTAAAGACCAGGGAAGCAAGGGGCTTGCTCAAAGTCACACAGCGAGCCAGGGAACCCACCGGAAGCAGCCCCCGACGCCGGCTGCAGTCACACACATCCCCGCAGCCCGCAGCCTTCCTGGGCCAGCAGGAGACTCAGCTCCAGATGGTGTCTCTGGGACCCCGGGGCCTTGCAGGAAATAGGGTTGTTTCATTTAGAAGGAAGGACCTTCCAACTAGACTGTCTTGGAGACATCACAAGTCAGGAGGAGCTCTGCTCGGGTGGGGGCGGGGGGGGGAGTAGCGGGGGTAGGGGAGCAGCTGGGAGGGTATGTCCACGGGATGCTGGAAGGCTCCAGCAGGTGAGGAGTGGAAGTGCCACTTTTGTCCCCTCGGCAGCATGGCAGGTGAGGATTGCCCCTCTGCCCTTCAGTGTCCCTGCCACAGGAGCGCCCCCTGCCCAAGCGTCCCTCCGTTGCTGCACAGAAGCTGGGGAGTCGGATGTGCAGGGCTCTGAAAACCAGCGGGCTGGGCTGTCCTCCAGCACATCTCAATAGCAGCTAAGGAAGGGGCTCGGTGGCCAAGTTCAGACGGGGGAACACCAGGTTAGACAAAGTGAAACTGGTTGCTTAAAGCAGGGCTTCCCATCATCTGCTAGGAGCAGAAATGGCGGGCAGCCTTCCCCAGACCACTGAACAGGAACTCTCTCCTGCAGAGCAGCGTGGAGGTACTAACCCCTCCCGCTCAGCTCAGCACCACTGGCTCTCTCAGCCGCAGCCTCTAAGCCACTCCCGGGTCCTGGACCCCAGGCTCCCGTTAAGAGAAACTGCTAACAGCAGGGGGAAGTGCGCTGCAGCTGGGAGTGGCAGGGGGCCCAGTGCAGGTCTCTGGCCTCTCCAGGAACAAGCTGCAACTGGCGCTTTGCTTCCTGGGAGCAGCGTCTGGGGAAAGGGAGAAGCAAGGCCGAGGCCGGACCTCCGGGGCGGGGCTGCAGCACAGTTGTGTTATGAGAGCTGAGTGCAGCAGGAGGAAGTTGTGAGCAGCCAGGGCTCCTGGCAGGCCCGGAGCAAGCAGAGCGAGGGCTGCTCCTTTCCAGCTGGGACGGCTCTGCGCCCACCGGCCACAGCCCTGAGCCCTCTCTGGTGACTCAGCACTGGCCACAGGCCCGTAAGCAGGGCCTCTTCCTGTGCAGGGCTCAGGGATGGTGGGGAGAGGAACCATGGCCTGAGCGCCAAATGCAGAGGCCGAGAGGCCTGCAGGGTAGCCCTGGGACCCCTTCTGTCTCCGTTTCCCTTCACCTCAGAAGGGCTACGAGAGCTGGTCCAGGAAAAAGGACATTTTATTTCCATAAATACTCCTGCTCTCACTCACACACTGACCACTCCTGCCCATAAACGGATGGACAGAGGCGAGACACCCACAGGAGGCCCAGCAGAGGCCCAGGAATGAAGGGGACCCTGGGAACCAGTGCAGGCCCTCCCTGGGCCAGAGTCCTGGGGCCCCCAGTGGGGCCACCTGCCTCTGGCATTACCCTTGGGCCAGCAGTTGCACGGCCCCACAGCTCCTCAGGAGGCCTGAGAGCAAAGGGGCCAGGCCTGTAGAGGGAGACCCCCAGGAAGAGGAGGAGACAGGTAGGGCTCCCCCAACTGGGCCCCCTGAGATGGTGACCACAGGGCCACTCAGAAATAAAAGCTGAGTCAAACCACACACCAGAGAGTGCAAACAGCTGGGGGTGCAGGCCTCACCTCCCACAGTTACCCAGATCCTATGGAGGAGGCCTGAGCTGGTTCCTGGCTCCAGCGTGGCTCCCAGTTATGGCTGGGCCTTCCCATAAGGCATAAGAGATGGGCGGGGATGACCCCACCTCAGGCTGGGGTCGGGCTGGCCCTGAGGTCCCGGCCCCTGCCCGGCAGCCATGCTTCACCCAAGGACCCCAAGTCCTTCCAGGGCCACAGCCCTCCCCTGCGGCAGGCTCCCACCTGTGGTGAAGTCCCCAGCAGTGCAAACCCAGGCCCAGCCTCCTGCTGGGTTTGGCTCAGCAGGGGAGGGGTTACGGAGGGAGGGGGGCACAGGGGTGAGGGATGAAGCACCAGGCACAGGGGATATGGCCATGGGGACAAAGGGTGTCCTCGGCCACCACAGCCTCCTGCCCAGGCTAGCCAATGGCCAGTCCCGTTGCCCCCTCCTCTTCTCCCCTCCCTCTCTGTTCTAGAGGCTCCCCCAGGTCTCGGGCGGGGGGAACTGGTCCACATCCCCCATCTCGTTGTAGGTCTGGTCGCCCATGGTGAAGAGGAGCTTGTAGCGGAGGCGAACCTTCTCCTGGGGCAGAGACGGTGAAGGCAGAGGGTCAGAGGTGGAGAGGAGGCTGCCCCCACCCCACAGCAGTGCCCCATCCCAGCTGGGCCCTCACCTTCTGGGGGTTGGCAAGGAGCAGGACCTGGGTGATAGCTGAGGGGTGGACGAGGGGGTTGAACGCCGGCAGCTCTGTGCCTGAGGGTGGCTGCAGCTTCACTTTCATGACCTGTGGACAGGAGGGCACAACGGGCACAGCTAGCCCTGGCTTCTCTTCTCCATCCTGAGAAGCCAAGGCCAGCCTGACCGCCAGCTCCTTTTCGGGGGGTCCTGGGGCTCTGTCCTTTGGTTCCTTTTTACCCCGAGTCCCCACTCCCAGCTGGCCCCCGTCTAGCCTGGAGTCACGCGGCCTTGAGAGGAGGGAGGTATGACAGTGTCACCTTGGGGACAGCTGACTGGAAAACGATGTTGCGGATGGGCTGGGGGGCGGTGCTCAGCATGGAAACCACCACCACCAGCACGTCGGAGCGCCCAGGCAGCGGGTCTCGGGCGAAGTGGAAGAGGACCCGGAAGCCATGCTGGTCGTACACGGTCACCGGCAAGATGCTGCCTGCAGGGGAGAGGAGCAGAGAGCAATGGGTGGTGCTGGGCCAAGCCCAAGCACACCCGACCAGCTCACTCAGGTCTTTGCTGCTCAGCTGGGAATGAACGAATGAACCCACAAACTTAGGTCCTCGCCTCGACCCTGGGCAGCAGTGCAGCCAAGGGTACAGACTGACGCCCAGGAAGGCAGGTGAACGTGCAGTGTCATGGCGGAGGCAAGACACCCAGCCGGGAACGGAGCCCCATGCAGGGCTCTGCCAGTCCGTGCACGGCTACTGGCTGGCATGCTGGGGTGAAGTGGGGTCCTGTCTCACTGTGTGATCCTGGTCTAGTCACTCCACTGCTCAGGGCCTCCCTACTGGTAAGATGGGGCATCACTACCTACCTCCCGGGACACAGGAAGTGTGACGCCCTTGGTCACGGATGGACGAGGCTGAGAAGGCTGGGCGTCTATCTGTCTGTGCAGGGCCTGTGCTGCTGGGGGCCCCCTATTGCTCCCGGGCGGGAGATGCCCAGACCCAGACCTGGATCTTTATCTCAGTGTGGTTTTGTGATCTTGGGGAGACCCCAAACCTTGTCCCGGGGGCCAGCCATCGGAGTCTGCTGCCTGGGTGAGCCTGGAGTTTATATGGCTGTTCTGGGCCACTCTGGGATGGATGAGGAGACGGCTGTGCAGGGTCCTGCCCAGAGCTCCTCGCTGAGCCAGGCAGGGCAGAAAGGACTGGGCAGAAAGGCCCACTTTCCCACCTGTCCCCCAGAAAGCGCTCCTGGAGAGGCGACGCGGTGGGTGGTGCTGCTGGGCCGCAAGCTGACCTAGCCCGGCCGGCACCCGCAAGTGCCCCCGCCCTACTCACTGGGTTTGATGGACTCCAGGGGCACAATGATGTTGGCCAGCGAGAGCTCAGTCTGTGTGGGCTGCTGCAGAGGCCCCAGGGGCTCAGGGACCGTGCTGTGGAGGCTGGCGGCACTGGCGCTGGGTGAGCTGCCGCTGCTTTTATTCTGCAGGTCCCGGAGCGTGAGCCGGGGGGCGGGCTGCTGCTTCTCCCTGATTGGAGGGCAGTGCATTGAGAGGTGACTCTTCGGTGACCAAGAGACCGGGGGCCTAGGGAAGGTGGGCTTCCTGACCATCCCTGACACCTCCCTGTCTCTCTGGCCCTGGTTTCCTCACCTTAAAATGGGCAGCTCTCCCAGCCCTCCCCTGTCCCTGGGGTTGTGTCCTCCTCACTGTTGGCCCTCCATCTTTCTCAGGTGCTGGGACGCCTGAGTGGGGCACAGGTCCCCTTTCTCTTATAAACTCCATGCCCTGGGACGGGCCCAGCACCACCCTTGCACCCAGTGCAGTGCTTGGCACAAGGCGGTGCTCTGCAGCCACTGCTCACAGGAACGCACTGGCACTGGGCCTCTCCCTGCCGGGTCTGGTTGTGGGACAGAGAGGGCTCCCCCCATGCCAGCCAGGGTGTGCCCTCACCACCGCACTTGTTGGGACTCCGGGGGCAGTGACTGCTGTAGCAGGGTCTTCCCCAGGAGGTCCAGGTCATCCAGACCACTGCTCGCTGGCAGGGATGTCTGAACGGGGTGCCAACTGTCCGTGCTGGGTGCTGGAGCGGGGGCGGGGGGTTCAGCGCCATTAGATGACTGTCGGGCATACAAACGACGCAGGTGGGTGAGGTGGTGCTGAAAAGGAGGCCCCCTCCCCTTCCTGCAGGTGACGTCTGGGGAAGAAGCAGCAGGGATGGGGACCACCTTCCTGCCAGGCCTGACCCCTCTCACTGCAGGGTCACTAGTGGGTCAGGCCTGGCAGGCCTGGTCTGGGTTCTACTCTAGAAACCTTCACATTCCAGGGACCTCAAAATCACCCTCAAGAGAACAGGAATAAGGAGCCTCCACCTCAACCCAAGGGAGGCCCAAGGCTGAGACTGGCAGGGAGGGGAACCGGAGGTAAGAGGACCGCCTGCCGTTCTCCACCCAGGGATGGAAGCCTCAGGCCCTGGGCTGTCCCTCCCGCTCATCTCCTCTCATTGCTCTCCTGGCTGCCTGACCCAGGTGCTCTGCTGCCAGGATGGGCCAGGCTAGTTCCGGGCCCTCCTACCTGGAAGCTGTTCCATCCAGCACCCTCCAAGCTTGGGCCTGAAGGTGGTGTGGGGTCACTCAGGCCTGCGGGGAAGCAAGAGAGGGAGATAAAGGAGTTGGATCCCTGAGCAGAGGCAAGAGAAATGGGGCTCCGGTGTGATAGGTTGGGGTCCCTGGCTCCTACCCTCCCCCCTGCACTCCTTCCTCCGAGAGGCTCAGCTCAAAGGGGAAAAGCCCACGTCAGCACTCTCACAGGGAGCCAGCCACAGAGCAGAAGGAGAAGCTAACATCCCG